ATAGAATAATAAACGGTAGTTTTATATATATAATAGTAATAATAATTATATAATAATTTATAAATATGAATAAGTAAAAATTTACTCGTGACTGGTCTGTATGGCCTCCTTGAAGTTAGTACTCCACTTCCAGCCATACTAAAAAATTAATATTATTTTCACTATCTGTTAAGCTGTAACTTGTTTCTTATATTTGTTTTTTTTTATTTTTTCTTCTAATTCTTTTTTTTTCTATTTTTATCTTTCTATTATAGTTTTCGTATGCATAATAACTTGCTTAACCCGCGTCGCTCGATTTTTGCAAAACAAATGCGAAAAAAGAGATCTTCGTCAAAGCAGCGTCTCTTTTCGCTACGTACGTTATTAAAGATGCGTCTGGTTCGTTTCGGCAACATCGAGTTTGGTCGGCGTTGCCGGTCAAACAGCCGGTCGTGATACGAATTACGAGATGCCCGCAAAAAAAAAGAAAAAAAGGGAAGACTCTCGTCGCGACGCAAATTTCCGTCGTTGAATCACAACTAACACTTATGAATGATCTGACAAAACATCGTGATCAGCGTCGTCGAAAACGAGGTGTAAAAGCGATCTGCGCTCTATACCATTTTAGGCGATTTTATACCTCTTCATATCTTGCGCTTTGCGCGATTTTGTGAATGAAAACTTTCGTATATATTCTCGTCTTGTTACCAGTGAAAATCATCCGTATGGTGAAACGCAAAGCGCAAGATGCGAGACTGCAAAATCGCTTTAATGGGATAGCAAGCAGTGTTTGATACAATTCTGAAGAAATTAAAGCAATGCGACGTTTTTAGCCAAACGTTGCATTGCCACTCTTCAAGCAATCTTCGAATCGCTCTCGAAACGAATGAATGACGATGAAAGAAAGAGAGAGAAAGTGAGGGGGAGAGGAAGAGAAGCTCGAGACAGCCGATCCGAGCGATTCGATTCTTCCGATATTCATGAACGATAAGCATCGACGGCTACGAATGTTTTGTCACACCATGCGCTAAATGTATAAAAAATATCTATACTATCGGGGCACAGCAAACATTGAAAATATTGGTTTTATGGATAACAGGGTGGAGGGATTCATATCACAGAAAGAGAAAAGAGAAAGAGAAAGAGAAAGAGAAAGAGAAAGAGAAAGAGAGAGAGAGAGAGAAACACAAGTTGCAGGAAAATTGCATTTTTTATTTCCGCCGGAATGCTTCCATTGCATTGTCGATCCGAAAAAAGATCATAGTAAAAAACAATGTGACTTTGAAAAAAAAAAGAGATTGAGAATTCGCGAGGGAAGAGAAGAAAGAGAGAGAAAAAAAATAAAAGAGAAAGAGAGACAGAAAAAAAGAGAGAGAGAGAGAGAAAGAGAGAGAGAGCCATCATCATGTCCAAGTATGTGACTTTTTATTTTCGGGAGAACCGTGTATAGCGAAAAAGACGGCAAGAGAAACTCGATTGTATTTCACACGAGTGTAAATGTAAATGTTGCATTTTTCGAGATTGTCGCCGTTGCGAGATGCTTGTTAAATGGATTTCCATCACAATTGTAAATCAGGAAATAAAAATCTTTGTGCAAATGTGTCGATAATCAACAATTATGTCGGATAACGCGGAGCGCTGCAATTTAATTATTATAATAAGTAAAATTATTATGCTTTTATACTAATAAATTCAATTAGTGCTATATGCAATTATCGGATTCCTGAGAGAATATGACGGGTGATAAATCTTGTTCATATTAAGATATACATCACAAGTGAGTGGCAGATTCCTAAAAATATATCTCGTACACTAGTGTATTTGCGTACGACGCATCTGAAGAGACGAAGCAATCATATGTTTAATCTTTCCTGAGAAGGTTTACATCAGATTTACTGTCAACGGTACTGTCAACGGTAGTGATCCAGGATGAACGAAAGGCATCTTCTAGGACGAGATAAATGGAATTACGTGTTGCGGATCTTTGTTCTTAATTGGATCAAAGATAACAGTTTCACTTGAAAATATTAATCCGCCCGTACATTTCAAATGTTGTAAATGCGCAGAAAAGAACACGCGTATTTTTAATACTTTTATCATTTAATTTTGAGGCTTTCAGAAAAATTTCCAATTAAAAAAATTTTTGTGTCTATCGATATTACATACTTTTACCTCGTGATATAATATCCACGATTTAACACAATTTTGCAATTGTGCGTTATTTTCCACTTATAAATATATCGTACAAATTGTACAAGACAATTTTTGTAAGTATAAGCAAATCTTTATATTGCTTAATTAATTTTACTAAAATATTGAAATTCTTATTTCGATATCGGATGACAAAGTACATTAAAAAGGCAAGTGTTGCTAAACTTTGTCGTACTGTATTAACACTAATGCCAACAATTATATCATTATCCACATTAATCGATAGATAAAAAATTTTAATGTGTAGTTCCCACATATATTAATCGTTTCGTAATTGTATTTCCACCATTTTGAGAGCTACATTGATCGTTTTGTCTGTTTGACTATACCATCATTGTTCAACTTACAGTTTCAAAAATACAGATAATCGTACGAAATGTTAGTTTAAACTAATCCAGCAATCTCAAAGCCTAAAATTTAATATTGACGTTTGTGCTACAATTTATTAATGGTTATCATATGTAATTGAGCAAAAACTCAAATTTAACGATATTAAAAAATATATACATATACATGTATTTTGATAAAAATCTAAAAAAAAACTAACATTTATATATTACTATTAATAATAAATTTTATTGCTTGTGATAGCAAAGTATACGCGCATTACAATTTTATTCACAACTGTTCGACATTTTGACGTGGGAATATTAAGACGAAATTTCAAAATTTATAGTTACAATACATGCGATAATACACGTCGAAAATTCAATTAATAATCGAACGCAGTCAAACAGACAGACTTTAATAATGATGTCTACTTTCCATGTGCATTGCAGTGATTTATATCAATGTTATTTGATCAGCGTCACAAGTGTGCGCGTGTATGTGTATGTTAGACAAATTATTGTACGTATATATAATACGTATATAACGTAGATATGTATACAAGTATATGCATATGTACGCAAAGAGAGAAAGATAGAGAGAGAAAGAGAGAAACAAGTATTTTACGTATATGATTATAGACATATTTATGTACCAGAACAAACTCTATGTCACTCGTTGCATGCGCTTGTTAGCATAATGGGGATACGGGGTAAGCGGTGGTCGGAGTAGTATAGTACACGTCTCACTGCAAAATACTATATCGGCTTACTTATGTGGGATAAGAAAGATCTACGAAGCATGGAGTGATGTCATCGACAATCTACTTTGTTAATAGGTAGCAGATTGTAATGTTGCCATTATGTCAAAAAGTGTTTGGTTGAATGAATTCGCAGAGGTGAAACAAGAAGCTGCGATGGGCACGATCGTAGTTTCTTAGTTTTTTCAAAATTTCATCTTTCATTGAACGTATTTACAAGTTTGCATTATATATCATCTTGTACGTAATTCATAATTTTATATATTAAGTACTTAAAAAAAATAATAAAACAGATAATATATAAAAATCTGTCAATATTACGTATAACTTTGTTCCTTTTAAATAATTGTATGATTATATAAATTATTACTCCACGTTTTATGTAGGATTTTAGTAATATAGGAAAAAAATTATAGTTTTAGAAAAAACTTTTCGTGAGGAAAAGTAAAGTTTTAAATTAAATTACATCGGTATATACTAAAAATTGTCGTATAAATATAAATCATAATTAAAAGTAATAAATACTTTCGCGAGTTTTATCTATTATAACTTTCCAAAAAAAACTTTTTAAATATCCATTTAAAATATTAGTAGAATACTATTTATAATTTATTTGATCTTAGTGAGAGAATATTATATCAAGACGTTATCTGTTATAACTTTTCAAATATTTTAATAGCATAAAGTAATTAAACGCTTTTCAAGTTAAAATGATTTGTTAAAAAAAAATCTGTTTCAAATGAATCAACATGAATAATATTTTCTATTATTTATCTACGTCTTTTATTTTTATATTTGTACTATGGAGAGAAACTTATTGAGGAAGTAAGCGCGTTATGTCCAATGTACGTATTTTGTTAAAGCATTTTATATATATGATCGTATTTAATAATATTTTATATCATTATTTCATGATATTTACTCGAATCACATCACAGGAAATATGATGCATTCCTCTTGAAATATATATCACGTCTATAATTTGTTCGTTAAATATGATTCGTGCCCATCTTGTAAATTCCAGTCATCACATGGATCAGAGCGTGCCGTGCCACTCACGACAAAGTGTGTCACACGACAAAATGTGCGCGAAACGAAGAAGGGACGTACGAGGAAAACAGGAATTTCCTCGTTTTCTGGGCTTTCAATCGTCGGAAAGTTCGACCCGACGAATGTCCTCAAAGCGAACGATTCCTAACGAAATTCGCGTCGTTTGCAATCAATCGTACCACGATTACACAGATACTCTCCGCAGAAAAAAGAACCTTCGCAACATCACAGAACGCGATTCAGGAAATTTTTTTCGATTAAAGATTCCACTCAAAATTCCTATCGTAACTAACGTCAATTTTTCATAATTATTCCGGTTCTTTTTTTTCTTCTTCCTCAGGGAAGAGGAAGCCGAGGAGGAAGGAGAATGCGGATAAAAATCAAGCGTGACACGCGAATCGGCCAAGGAGAAAACTCGGGAATATCGCATGCAACGTGAGGGTGGCGTGTGTTTTAGGAACCAGAGATAGGTGCGATTTACGCAGGTGCGACGAGCGAAGAAGTCGGAATAGGAGATCGGAGTAAAAAGGATGGATCTCGATAGAAGGTAAATAGATAGAGAAAGAGAAAAGAGAGAAAGAAAGAAAGAGAGAAAGAAAGAGAGAAAGAAAGAGAGAGAGAGAGAGAGAGAGAGAGCGAGCGAGCTAGCGAGCGGGGCCAATGGAGCGGTTACCTTGGAATGCTGTGCCGTCGTCGGTGTTATTGGTGGCGTTTCTTCGGCATCCACGCTCGCTGCGTTTGGTAATCGCTGCTCTTGCACCGACGCCAAGCTACAGCAGAAACCGAACTTTTGTCTGATCGGGAAAAAAATTTGGCAATACTATACGTTGTCGACTTATATGATCCATCAAGGAAGAACGTGTAACCGGTATTATTTTTATATAAATTTTGTTAGCGAGATAGTTTCGCATGCATCGTACTTTCTGCATATGGAGATAATCTCAATCCATAATGCGTATAATAGAGAATAAGATTCACAAGTGATTTTAAATAGTCCTTAAAAATGAGTGCCGCATACATAAAAAGTTTTGAAGCCGTGACATCGATCGATTTAATTGCCTGACGCCAATCTTACAAGAATGTCTGTTATCATAAAGACACTTTGTGGGAAGAAAATGCGTATTGCCAAGCAATTGTGTCAGCATATTATTAGATTGATTTTATTGGCAATCTTTATCTCAAAATTATATAGCGGCTATATTACTAGAAAGCATGTTCCAGTGATCATCGACGATATTGACGACTGGATCATTAATTAATATAATTGCAACTTAGATGTAACTACAAGAACATATATATATTTATTGTCATGTATAATTTATAATGAATAGTTTAAAAGAGTTTATTTAATAAGTCTAGAATTTATACCATCTAATATGATAAATGTATCGTTTAATAATTTTCACAAAACTTGTTATATTTATTAATGTTATATAATAATTTCCTTCTAGATTATTTTGTCCCTTAAGATGTATGTGAAATTTTATGACTTTGACTATAATTTTCGGTTGCATAAACAAATTTAGCTATCTTGTTTAGAATCATCGTGTCAATAGTATTTTAATAATAAAAAGTCATACCGTTTGAGCGTCACTAATGTGCCGGTGAGTTTCTTGCAACGTCTCAACGCGGACTCTAATCGTTCGGGTTCTTCCTTGAGGAACTTCTCCTCGCGCACCACTTTTTCCATTTCGGAGCTAAGTAGACCCTTCATACCTTCCTGCAGACTCGGGAAACGTACCTTGAGGTCAGCAACAGTTTTGCTGAAAGGCAAAATTATACCTAATCAAACGCGAAGAAGTGTTCAACTGTTAAAATAATTGATACGCAACCTTATTTTAAATTTTATAATTATTACACTAGTATATAAAAATATATTACATTAGCATAAAAAAAACATTTCAATGTACAAAGATCAGATGTAAATCTAGCGACATTTACAATTAATATAAATACGCAACTCTCTGCTCAAGTAGAATCGAAGTGCGCGTGTGCGGCTTACCTGGATTTACTCAATATCAAAGCCATATTCTCTACATCCGACATATTGACACGCGTCTTTCTATTGATCACGTTACCGCGAAGCTCCTCCACGGTGCTCTCCAGCTCGCTGAAATTCGCGAACGTTCGTTAGCGGCGTTTCAAATTGTTTTCTTTTTTCTTTAAGCGTCATCTCAACAGAATAATAACACTCACGTGAGATCTTTTTCCAGCCTTATCATTTCTTGCTTGTAGAGGTCTTCCTCGCGACTCAGTCGAATCTTCTCTGTGTCTCCAGCTGTCCAGGCCGCATCTCCTCCTGACAATAGCATAGCCCTGTAACAATAATCAGTTAAATTAAATGACCACCAGTTTTTCCAAGATATTGCAAGTTATGTAAATTTATTATATATATATATATATATTTTTTTTTTGTAATATTATAATAATATTTGTAAAAAAAACTTGTCGTGTGCATCGTGATTTTTCTTTCGATTCAATTACATAAGATACACAAGTTCTTTCATACCTAATGGTGATGAACGTGTCCCTGATCGTTTCGCGCACTGTATGGGCCTGTGCCTGCGACATGCGCCTGAGATTCCTCACTTCCTGCCTGAGGTCTTTCGCTTTCTTCTGGAGACCCCGCAGTTGATTGTACATTTCCGGTGTGAGCGCCAGGTCCCTGTATACGTATTGGCCGGCCACCAGCGCGGCCGGTTTCGGCGGTGGCGTCGGTTTGTGCCTGTCCCTCTCTGCAATTATTCATTTATGCGTAAGGGAACGTAGATATACCGCGAAGATTTCTCCACCAACATTTAAAGGATTCAAGCTCGCGCCGTATCGCATTCCTCCTTTCGTGCGAAATCCGGAGTGGCGAAAAAACCGACGGCGAGGGATGCAAATGAAAAATTTGCACCGACGAATATAAATCCAATCTGATTAGTTTCTTTCATAATTAATTACAGAATTTGTTGGAGAGAATATTGAATAAAATCATCGACCGATTTTATTTCAATCAATTCTCAATTCTGGCAATAATTAATCACAAAATTGTTAATCGAGAAAGATATATAACTGTATATATTTTATCTTTTCCATATTTTTCTTAGTCGATTGTTAAAATGAAATACATATATTGTTTGAATCTACATCCTATTGTATTTCGCTTTTTGTCAAGCAAAGTTTGCGAAAGGCAAAACGCTATGGCCGCAATGACGCATAAATGATTCGTCAGCGAAATTTCGTGCGTACGGCGGCTCAATCAGCTGATTAGACTTGACATTTGTCACTTATCGTCGTTGACTGTAACAATTTCGCACGATAGAAGAGCGGGCCCTAAGTAATGAGAGGACGGAGGCGACAGTTAAACAGGTCGGCGACAACACAATTTTACCGTCACTTTTTATTATTGCGATTTTTATTGGACGGATGACGAAAGGCACGACGGAAGAACGGAAAAAGGACACAGCAGATGACCTAATTGGCGGATGAAAATATTGTCGGTGTTTCAAGCCAAGAACCGTGTGCTTGTGTTACGTGTTATATAAATACTCTTTGTGATATGTGATATATTTCACTAATGTGTGCTACGTTTCTTTTTACGAGAGCGTAATTATTTTTACGGATAGACGCGTCGCGCGATGACCGATATTTATCGCAGCGATATATTCACCGGCGATAAAATCGAGTTGGCAATATATTAAGAATAAGTAATTCTATTGCGATGTCAGTATCCACACGTCTTTTTATTTCCTGAGCTCTCTATTTCGTATAAAAGCATGCACAAATTTTCATGTGTATTCATCGAAAGACAGAATAGATGCACATTAATTTCCATGATTAATTGAGATAGATATGCCTTTTATTTATTATAAAATTCCGTAACTAATTTTTTGTAAATAAAATCATAAGTGATAGTATGTAACACTTTTGAGAATCGAATTATCTAACAATATCTTTCAACTGATGCATTTACAAGTGCATCTACTCTAGCCAAACGCGCCGCGTGTACGTCACACGCTCTACATGTGAGACAGTTCCAGATGAACCGATCCCATGATATGCAACGTGACAGTGATAAGCAACGTCGTTCCAGCGGGCAAATAAAAATACGTTCCGACACCCGAGTCAGATGAATAAAGAATGAATTTACGAGGAAGAGAGTGAGGAAGTGGAAGGGTGAGACGGTATAAGACGGATGTATCGTGACGCTTTCAAACGATCGGCGGCAGCAGATACATAGCCGTGATATATCGCTCGGAGGTCTGAGCAGAAAGAAAGAGAAAGATAAAGAGAAAGAGAAAGGAATGAAATGTACATATTCGTCACAAATGTCCCGTAAAATGATACAAACGTATGAATTGTGTCTTCCGTTTTTCACGTATGAAAAGCATACGTTCGGCGCGAAAGCGCTGCGCAACCCGATCGTTCGTCAAAGCGATGATATATGAAGGGCACGGAGAAAAGGGCGAAACAATCGTGAACTTTAACGACTATTGTCGTCAAACGATATGATTTAAAACATGATGCAAAATAAGAGAGAGATGTAGTGAATTTCTCGTTCGGATAAAGTCGCATGATTTTTTAAATCTTACGCATGTAATTCCAAAAAGAGAAAAACCAGAGAGAAAGAGAGAATTCTGTCCGTCGAGTAAACATTAGCTGGTCACCGAATATGATTGATATGCAGTACGATTTTGTTTTTCAAAGTAACTTTTGCGAGATTCATTTATACATGTGTTTCTGATGAGTTTTACATAAAAAGACATGTAAACTCTGTATATAACGCTTAATTTATTCGTTTTCCATTTTGCCTGGACTGTACACTTTGCTTTTCTCGCATACCTTGAAAATCGATTTATATGGAAATAAACACATTAATTCGTTTAAATCCAGCAACGTTGACGTACAGCGCTCATCTCTTTATCGAAAACAGACTTACAATTTTCCGGTGCCCTCCATACAGTGTCGTCCCAGGAGACGAATAAAAAATTAAAAAGTAGAAAACTTCGAAACGACGGAACGACAGAAAAAATTATCGTATCAAACACTTGGAACGACGCTCCATTATGAATAACATATATATAGACACAGCGTGACACATATAAGGGAGAAGCATAGACATTAAAACTGGAACTATTCGGATAATGTGACATTTGCAAAATTATTTTGTGATCATTAAATATATTTAAACATTTTAAAAATATTTAAGTTATTCTAATATATTTAATGTAATAACAGAATATTTTATCTTGAATTTCGTTTTAAACCAGAATTTTTCAATGCAATGTCTGTGAAATATTTAACAAAATTTTAGTTTCATATCATTGGAATAACGAGCGTATCTTAAAAAAAAATACTTAGAGAGACATTATCTGATATCAAAAATATAAAAATTTAAAAGAAAGGAATTATATATATAAATATGAAAAATATAATATATATATAAATAAAATTTTAAGAGAAATAACATTTTAAATCGTATTTATAAATGTACGAGTTTTGTGTTTGTTGTTTGAAAAATATAGATTCTCTAAAATTTTGCCGAATAATTCCACTCCTAATAGAGAAACATGGGGAAATTTTACCTTGCGACGACATCCTCGGCAACGTGGAGGATTTGATTGCCGGTTTCGTGGGTTTTGTGTCCGCTAGTCGTGGTAGGCATTGCAGAATTGTATGAGAAGGCGTTAGAGATTATTGCGTTAGTATTCGCTATCGCGACGGGATCGATATTTTGTCATAGATATGTTTTCACTTTTATAGAATTTTCCTTCGATTAAATTGTGTTTTTAATATTAATATTATATTCATTGTATACTGAAAGCCAAAACAAATTACTTAAATTTAGAACGTTCATTTAAAGTTATAGATAAAAGTTTGTATAAAGATTAAATAAATTGAATGAAATAATGATACGAATTGAAAAATATATAAGTTTGACATGTGTATCCATTTTTGTGTAACATTATTCCTTGGAATAACGCGACGCATATGTGCATATGCACACAAATTAAATTAAGTTATTATAAACAATATCATTTTTGACATCATTGGTTATAAATTTGTTCTCGTAAATGATACAGAAAAGAATCATTTAACGCGACTGATCATTCAACGTGTCGATCAATCGAATCAAAGTCGAGCATGAATCAGACAAGAACTTTGCAAGATTTTGAAACACAGAGATTTCAATTAATTATAGGTCTTTCGAAACTTCAATCGAAATCAAACTCAAAGATATATTCTTCGATCATAAATTGTGGCAAATTTGCATACAATTTCTGTTCGTTGCAAAACAGTCATTCATAATACGATATCTCGAGTATCATTCCTATGCTATTATGCAGTTTTTGTTATTTCGGCAAGACCTAGATAATTAGAAAAAATATTAGAATCTCTCGGTGTACATTTATCTGGCATTATAAAATAAAAACTCTTTCTTGGATTTTGCTTTCGGTTATTATGCTAGCGCTCAGCCAAACGTTTACCACTTCCTTGATAAACGATCTAACAACGTGTGATTCGATATTCTGACAGCATGCTTACAATTAGCATACATTTTTGCTCGTTTATACGAGACGTGCGGTAGCCGTTACCTGCATGTTGCGGGGAGTGTTGTTTGGGGGAGTTCATGTCTGGTGGCTCGTCACTGAAGGACACTGACTTTTCAAACGACACCGACTTGTCTGCAATAGATGTTGATCAGCATATTTCTCCGTGATATATGTACGTTAAGAAGCGTAAGAAGCGTGTATGTGTGTATACCGGGTGGAATTAGCGCCGGCTTTAGGTATATGGATGTTTTCGTTAAATAATTTCGTATAATTGCAAAAATTCTATTTACCAGATAAATATTAATTAAGCTAGAAACTCAACTTGGGAAAATTTTGCTTCCTTTGATATCTTCGTAAATTGCGTGATTTCAAAAATTTAAATTAATTTACAAATATTTTAATCATTGCAATTGCGGAGTAATTTCTATTTCTAAGCAGCTGTTTTTCTGTTAATCATCCCTAAAGCCGGTAGCGTATAAAACGATTATGAAAATATGAAGATTTCGATGTAAGCACCGTGCAAACGAAAATCGCAGATGGTTCGCGGGACGTAATGTATATAAATTAAATATATCAATATTTTTTTAAAATAATATTTTTTATATTTCCACGGAAAACAAAAAAGAAAAAAATAATCGCGCGATTTGAATACGAAAAGATAATCAAGACTGAAAAAAAATGAAAAAGTATAATCTTGCGGATATGATTACAGATTTAATAAAAATTTTAAATTATTGGTTCTGTTAAACTTTCTGGGGAAAATGATCGTAAAATTATATATAAGATCGTATAGAGAAAAAAGTAGGAGATAAAATAATGTGAAAGAGGCACGAATGTGCGAGATGTATAATGATGATAACGCGAGATATGAGAAGCGGCAATGCATTTGCGAGAGCATTCGCAAGTGCGTGTATATAAAGGAAACATATATTGAAGCGCACCTTTGCCTAATTTTGGCGGTTTAACGTCAGTCCTTAAGTACGAGTCATCTGTAACGGCAGGTTGAGACACTTGAATTTTAAAGGACACGCGTTTTATTGACGGCGATAAAAAGATAGAGATAACGTTAAATATAATATGCATAAATATGTATATATAAATATTGATATAAATAAAGATCTTTAACGTCATACGAGTCATCTGTAACGGCAGGTTGAGACACTTGAATTTTAAAGGACACGCGTTTTATTGACGGCGATAAAAAGATAGAAAAGATAGAGAATATAATATGCATAAATATGTATATATAAATATTGATATAAATAAAGATAAAGA